ATCTTATAAAATATTTGCTGTCACATTTAAGAGGTCCAGCAAATCACAATTTGTCATACGTGTAAAAATCAAAATCAATTATGACTTGTAACCCCTCCACATGACATCACTCTGTCCAGTATCCCACAGTGCTTTGAGAGAACAGATGCCATGAATGGAGGGCTGAGGAACCGATGGGCTCTGTGTTCCTGCCAGCGGCTCATGCAGCACTACTGCTAATAAATCTTTGCTGTTATGGAAAATCACAATCTCACAGCCAACAACTTCTTATATCAGCAATCCACAGGCGTGTTAGTGAAGGTTATTTCAGCTCTCACAGTACAGCACAGTTGTGTCTAGACTCATGGAAACATTGAGCAAAGCATCAAATGAGATGACAGCTTGATAAGGCTGTTACATTTCTGAGCGTCACTCACTCATGGTATTATGCATGGAGGCTGTTTATGATGTTGAGAATATGCTAATAAACAATTAGTAAAGAGCTAAATATAAATCTTTACAGGATTATAAAGATGATCATTTACAACTGGCAGAGAGATTTGGCGTTAAGTGTTTAAATGTACAAAAAATGCAACTTCATGATTACAAACGTGTATTTAAAATACACAAATACACTGTATTTAAATACGCCACATAGGCCTAATTGCATTTAATATAATTTCGAACTATAATACATTCTCATTTAATTGCTCATTTATATATACTGTATATACAGTGTGTTTGTGTGTATAATATAATTTATATGCAATTAAGTGTGCAAGAACATTCATTCACACGTAAGTATATTCTCGCATATTAAGCATATCACTGTATTAAGTCATCTTTTTAAAAAGTACGCTGAAGTGTATTTCATTTTTTACAAGGGCAGCGTCATTCACTGTCACGCTTTCCAGCAGAAACCTGCAAATGAGGCCCATTATAGAATGCTCCGCTTTGTGAAAGTAAAAAAGCTTAACATTTTTTTAGACCTGATACAAAATTGAGATGCATTGTCCACAACCAAGCTCTCAGATCTTGCCATGCAAACTGATGAATTTGCTAGTTTTGTGAGCATGTCTGTGTCGTCACCTGAATAACTTTAGCAAACCAGCTGCTAGAATGACAAATTATACAAGGTCAAAACAACAATATAAACAAAAGACAAAAATGTCCACCCATGATTTAATTGGGGGAACAGTAGCGTCCTATTCATTAGTTAAAATCAGCACAGGCATGTTTAATCTGTTAAAAAAGCTCTTCGTGGAACTGTAGTGAATGTTAAATAAAGCCTGGATAATAATCATTTCAATTTTGGAATGTTCTATTCAAAGATTCCGGCCCCTAAAGACACACCATTAGTTCTCTTCAAAAGAAACATGTTCTGTTTACAAAAACCACTTACAAAGGAGTCCCCCAAGGTATAGCAGATGACATGTGAACCAAAATCACCAAAATACAGTAACATTTACATTTACATTTACATTTAGTCATTTAGCAGACGCTTTTATCCAAAGCGACTTACAATTGGGGAGAGATTTGGCGTTAAGTGTTTAAATGTACAAAAAATGCAACTTCATGATTACAAACGTGTATTTAAAATACACAAATACACTGTATTTAAATACGCCACATAGGCCTAATTGCATTTAATATAATTTCGAACTATAATACATTCTCATTTAATTGCTCATTTATATATACTGTATATACAGTGTGTTTGTGTGTATAATATAATTTATATGCAATTAAGTGTGCAAGAACATTCATTCACACGTAAGTATATTCTCGCATATTAAGCATATCACTGTATTAAGTCATCTTTTTAAAAAGTACGCTGAAGTGTATTTCATTTTTTACAAGGGCAGCGTCATTCACTGTCACGCTTTCCAGCAGAAACCTGCAAATGAGGCCCATTATAGAATGCTCCGCTTTGTGAAAGTAAAAAAGCTTAACATTTTTTTAGACCTGATACAAAATTGAGATGCATTGTCCACAACCAAGCTCTCAGATCTTGCCATGCAAACTGATGAATTTGCTAGTTTTGTGAGCATGTCTGTGTCGTCACCTGAATAACTTTAGCAAACCAGCTGCTAGAATGACAAATTATACAAGGTCAAAACAACAATATAAACAAAAGACAAAAATGTCCACCCATGATTTAATTGGGGGAACAGTAGCGTCCTATTCATTAGTTAAAATCAGCACAGGCATGTTTAATCTGTTAAAAAAGCTCTTCGTGGAACTGTAGTGAATGTTAAATAAAGCCTGGATAATAATCATTTCAATTTTGGAATGTTCTATTCAAAGATTCCGGCCCCTAAAGACACACCATTAGTTCTCTTCAAAAGAAACATGTTCTGTTTACAAAAACCACTTACAAAGGAGTCCCCCAAGGTATAGCAGATGACATGTGAACCAAAATCACCAAAATACAGTAACATTTACATTTACATTTACATTTAGTCATTTAGCAGACGCTTTTATCCAAAGCGACTTACAATTGGGGGATACATAAAGCGATTCTTCTTAAGAGGCAAACAGACACAGGAAGTGGTTGTAATACCAAGTTCTTAGACATTGTTCAAATAAGTACAAGCTAGAAAGAGAAGGAATAAATAAAGAGAGAGAGTTTTTTATTTTTTTTTTTTTTTTTTTTTTTATGATGAAGTCAAGTAGCTTCGAAAGAGATGGGTTTTCAGCTGTCGCTGTAACACTAGTACTACTAGTTATAGTACACGGCAGCAGTTACTGTGTTTAAAGCTGGGCATGTGTGAGTAGATGCCAAATGTAATCAGACATATTTGCAATTAGAAGGAGAATTCCTGATGAAGCAAGGAGAGCTAACTCTTGTGCTGTGAATCAAACTATAGGTGTTATAGAACAATACAGTTTAACACACAGCACCAGAGCATGTCTCCACTGACACCGTTTCACCTCCAGCTCTTCTGAAATTTACTGAGATGCATGAAACTGAAACTTTTAAATTTCATAATAGTGTACAAAAGAGTCAAAACTATCAATTACTTTAATATGAAATCATTCAAAACAAGCCAAAAAAATGCAAGATCAAACAAAATCGCTGCAAAATTTCTAAACAATACATTATTTGAATTTATGGTGTAATCTCTCAAAATACTGTATATACAAAAATAGAAAATAAGGTTCTTATTGTAAAAATTGTATAAAACTATAATTCCTTTTAAAATAAGTAACATCTCTTTAAAAAATTAATACACATGCTCATGAGTAGGCCCAAATAAAATATACTGTGTATTTTTATTTTTTTTTTTGCCAAAATAGCACCTACTTTAGGTTTTCACTTTTGGTGACTTTGAGAGCATCATCTTTACATTTTTTCAGTACTATTATGGAGCATTAAAGAAACTAGTTGTTACAGATGAATTGATTTTTTTCAACTAAATAACTAAATATATTTTTACATGCTAACATTGGCCTTATTATTGATCCAGAAAATGAATGGAAACTAAATGGACAGTTGAACATTTATCTGATATATACATTGTGTATTAAAGGAATAGTTCACCCCAAAATTAAAATTAGCTGAAAATGTACTCACTCTCATACCATCCAAGATGTAGATGAGTTTGTTTCTTCATGGGAACAGATCTGGAGAAATGTAGCATTATATCACTTGCTCACCAATGGATCCTCTGCAGTGAATGGGTGCCGTCAGAATGAGAGTCCAAACAGCTGATAAAAACATCACAATGACCCACAATTAATCCACATGACTCAGTCTAGAAACAAAGAAACAAACCCATGGAGATGTTTTTAACTTCAAACTGCTGCTTCCAGCTAAAATACAAGTCCTCTATCCATAATATTTATTTTTTCCAGTGAAAAAGTCATCTCGTCTGAATCAGAAGACTAAAAATAATAAAGTCCAAAACAGTTTAAATATGTTAGTGGATTATGGACTTGTATTTTTGCCTGAAGCAATGTTTGAAGTTAAAAATGTCTTGATGGATTTTTTTCTTATAAACACGAATCTTTTCACTTCAGAAGACATTAATTGATGGAGTCGAGTGGATTACTTTTGGATTCTGATGGCACTCATTCACAGCAGAGGATCCATTGGTGAAGTGACGTCATGCTCATTTTTTTCCAAACCTGTAGTGACCAAACTCATGTTGGACATTTTCAGCAAATTTTAGTTGTTGGGTGAACCAAGTGAACTCTGGCCTCCTGTTTGTGATAACATTGTGTTACCTGGTCTTGAAAATTTTAAAAGCATTGATCTTGTCAATTTTTAAAAGATAATACCAAATCAAATGAACAAGATAGCGATAACCTATTATTACATTTTAATTTCGAGGTTTTCTGCTGAGTTCATGTGGGCCTGCTCATGAACTTTAACAGAGTAAAAGCAAAACAGAAGCAAACAGATCAAAACTACACATCAAAACCTAAAGAATGACAAAACGTTTGACTGGTTTGTCGGCACAAAAATTAGCTCTTTTCATCAGTTCATACGCTGTTGTGACGATAATTAAAGATTTTGTTATTCCAAATGTGTCCCTTCTTTTATAGATCTTGAGAGCTAGCATCATTAAACAGCATTTGTTTATCCATATTTTCTTCCCAATATTCTACTGATATATGAGCAATATATGAGCAATAATCACAGCCGCTGATATAGAGCCGGTATCGCTCTCGTACTCGAGTGATATTGCGTTTATACAACAGTTCGACAGTTATTAGTGAGAAATAATGAGGTTATAAGAGAGAAACAATGCGGCAAGACGTGCATCCAAATGAGAGAGAGAGAGAGAGACCGCGAAGCTAGACGTTTCTTCTTATATTAACTAACGTACTCTACGGTTAGCTCAGTGAATAATTAAAAAAAAACATAGACCCGGCTAGAACAAGCGGAGTGATACAAAATTGTGAAAGAGCATTCCTGTAGCGATACTAGTACAATATCTCACGGTTCTCAACCAATCAGATTTGAGAACCAGAACGAACTGTTGTATAAAAGAATATACAATCTTATCTCTTATTAATATTAACTTAAAATAACAATTTGGTCATGTGGCTGCTTCATTACTCTGCTTGAGCGTGAACTTCTACCTCTGTGGTCACCAATAACGCATCTGCATTTGCAACTAGACCTGCATCTAAATCTGAATCTGCACCTTCATCCACGTCTACATCTACATGTGCTTGTGTGCCTGTCGTCCCTGCATTTTCATTGGCTGCAGCCTCGACAGGTATGACATCATCATAGTCCTCCTGTTTCTCTATCTCCACTTCATAGGTGTCCTGATCTGATGAGAACACAAAGGAAAAGGTCAGCACCGTTTCCATAAAGGCACACACACACACACACACACACACACACACAGTGAGGTGTAAATTTGAGTGATGTACCAAGAATGTTCTCGGGTCTCTTGGGAAGGAGAGGGAGGTTGAGGTCATCATCATGGTAGGTTTGAGAAGGAGAGATTCCATTGGCTTGTCCCTCAATGTCATCATATTCTGTCCCAGAAGAACCTGTCTTTCTGTCATATTCATCCTCCTCTCCTGTTGGAGAAACCAAACATGATTTATGTAGAATCTTTAAATTGTTTCCATAAATTTTATGCGATATTCCAGTTTTGCGCATAAGTTAAATTCGAATCTTTGGATGGAAACATCACTAATACTT